GCGGCTGCCTGGGCCTGCTGCTGCTGCTCACTGGCTGTCTCGCGCCTGCCCAGGCTGACCTGCTGGGCCTGGTCTGGCCGTGGTCCACTAGGACCACAGGCCCCACAGCCTCACTGGTCTCTGAGCCCCAGGGCAGCCCATCTGTGCGGCCCACTGCAGATACCACCACACATGATGTCCCCCAAGATGGCTCCTTGGAACAAGAGACAACTCGTGCCAGCCCTGGGTTGCCCTTGCAGGGGCTGGCGTCTGACTGGGACAGGGCCCCCGCTGCTGTGGCTGCCTCTGCTGCAAGTCCCGACATGAAGGAGGAGAACATCGCAGGCGTCGGAGCCAGAATCCTGAATGTGGCTCAGGGTATCCGGAGCTTCGTCCAGCTGTGGGAGGACACCCCTCCCACCGAGCGTTCCGCTGAAGCAGAGACGCTGGCCTCCGAGATCCCCACGGGCACCTTTGACCTCCCAGGGTCCTCCAGCACCCCTCAGGAGAACAAGACCGCTCTCTGGCCTAGCAGCATTGCTCCAAGCTCCCTGGGCTCCCAGACAACCATGGCTGGCACCCTGCCAGTGCCCACTCAGTCACCTTCCTCCCTGGGCAGACCCCAGCCACCACTCAGGGAGTCATCAGGTAGAGCTTCTCTCTCTGTGCTGGGCGGGGCCCCTCCCTGGGGAAGCCAGCAGTCCCCAGGCCAACCTGAGGATCCGAATGGTGAAGGACTCCTGCGTGCAGCAGCCGGTCCCATCCAGCAGCACCGACATCCTGACATCCGCAGACTCTGGCCCCTTCTGCAACCTCTGGTGACGGGTTCTCTGGGCACGGGTTCTCTGAGTGCGTCCACGGCCTCCTCTGCTCACTCCTCTGCACCTCCGGCCGGGTCGGCTCGAATTGCAGTTGCAGCTTTACTTGGGGACAGCAGCGCTTGGGCTTCCCACGTGGCTCACTCTGCGGGGCCTGGTTTTGCTAATATCTCTGCTCTGCTCGGGGCTGACCCCCTGGCCCCTGCCGGCCACTGCCTGCCCCTGCCGTCCTCCCTCCTGGTCTGCGGCCACCTGGGCATTGGGCACTCCTGGCTGCCCAACCACCTCCAGCACCAGAGCAGTGAAGAGGTGGAGGCTGCTGCACAGGCCTGGGAGGGCCTCCTTCGGACTCGCTGCCACCCCTTCCTCACCTGGTTCTTCTGCCTGCTGCTGGCCCCACCATGCGGCTCTGGGCCCCTGCCTGCCCTGCCACCCTGCCGCCAGTTCTGTGAGGCCTTGGAGGATGCATGCTGGGGCCACCTGGCAGGGGACCGGCTTCCAGTCCCTTGTGCCTCACTCCCAGCCCAGGAGGATGGGGACTGCGTGTTCATTGGGCCGGCAGCAGGTAACCGGCCGGCCACGTCCTCCCCACCCTTTCCTTTTTGCCTTGCCAGGTAAGCTCGGCCGGGGCTGACAAGGGCCTGATTAGCCCCCCATCCCATGCTGAGCCCAGTCATCTGGAGGGTGGAATGAGAGGCCTCCTTTGCACGGCAGGCGTCTGAGGCTGGGGAGGGCCAGAGGGTTGGGCAGAGCAGCCACAGATACTGTAACCCAGCAGATGCATGGGGCCGAGTTGCCTGTGTTGGATACTTCGCGAGCATCTTAGTGCAGGTAGTCGTCACCAGGGCTCAGAGGGCCTGTTATAACCTCAGCCAGGGAGGGGAAACAGGCAGAGTGATGCTGTGGCATGCCTAAGGGAGCCCATCAAGCTGGCTCTTGGTCGTTAAGCTATACCATCTAATGTCCTTCCTGTGTTACCTGTTTGTCGGATTGAGGGGCATGAGGGATGGGCTTTTTCTTTTCATAAGCTGTGGGTGGGGAGGCAGGTCCTGGGCGGGATGGGCTGTGATTTCATCATATTCAGGTGAGTGTGCTCGTAAGTTCCACACACACTTGGCCCATGAGACGCCCCAATGTTGAGTGGATAACCGCCTCGGCCTGCTCCTCACCAAGCGTGTGGGGCAGGGCAGCTCTGCAGGAGACGTCTGCTAGGAGGCCCCTTCTGTCCAGGTGTGCATCGATGCAGCAGGCTCTGAGCAGCACTGTCCCTGCTGCTATGCCTCAGGGAGGCCTGTCTCCTTTGGGTAGGGCTCAGCCACGTGGGGTTATGGGAGTACGAGGGTTGGGGCAGGGACAGCTGCTTCTCAACCAGTGAACCCAGGTAGGGCTGCACAGGGTTCAGGGTTTCTCAAGCCTGCTCAGCCTCATGGGAAAAGGGAACTTCTCACAGAGCATCTGGACACCTCAGCAGGGTCCTTGGCCCTGTCTCGAGCAATGTCTTGGTGCTTCTGCCACAGGCCTGATTGCCCACCTTCCTGGGGCCAGAGGTGGGTAGCACCAGAATGGGACTTCTTCTGGACAGCCCTGGCTAGGGGTCTCCCACCTCTGGCCTCTCTCTCCGACTCCACTGCTCTGGGCTGAGCCCCTCCTCATGTTGACTCTCATACTGACCCCAGCATGAGGGGGGGCAAGAGGAGGAGTATGGCCCTGGTGGGACAGAAAGGGATAGGTGGGGGCACCCAGGTACTGACATAAGGAAAGTCAGTGACTGGTTGCTCTGTGATAGCTGGAGGGGTGCAGGTTCCTCTCTCAGTGTGAGCACACCTGCCATTGTTCACCCAGGGAGTCCTTGAGCTGCATCTCAAGGCCTGGGGCTTGGGATCAATGTACTCCTACAGGGAGGGGAGACCCCAGGGCTCCTACATCCTCTCTGGGGCCATCCAGAACTGTGGCAGCTGTTCCCCCTCCCTCATCCTCAGCCCCTCCTAGTCCATGGGGCCTGGCTATGTTGCCTGGCCCTGCACCCCACCCTGAGGCCCTGCACTCTGTCCAGCAGGGCCCTCAGCCCTTGTCCTGTCAGCTTTCTCCCATTTGCCCCCACCAGGAGCAGGAGGTGGGGGCGAGGCTGGGTGTACTTGGGCCTCAGTGTGGAGAAGCCAGGGTGAGGGGAGGCAATCAGGAGGTCACCTGTGGGAGCCTCTGCTTCTGCTGAATCATGCAGCTAGGGACCCCTGAAGTGTCTCATTGTGTTCTGGTTTGTCCTGTGGACCCACAAGAAGCTGGATGTTGTTATGTCCCTTTGCAGAAGGGGCACACTGCATGGTGAGTAGCAGGCATGCGAGCCTGGCCACTTACCCACTTCCTGAACCTCTGAACCTCTGTCTCCCAGAAGTGGGCTGTCTAGCACCCCTCATTGGGCATTTGGAGTCAGTGAGACTGCTTGGGGAGTCTGGTCACTGCCAAGGTCCCTAGGGCACTTTGAGAGCAGCCCCTCTTTCAAGGGCCAGCCCAGAGCCGAGATCTTCCCCACCTGCCTGGCCTCCCCTTCCTCTACTCCAAAGTGGATCTGTAACAGATGTGGCTGTTTATTAAATGCTGCAGGTAGCTGGAGGTTTCCACTTCCTTTGATTTAGGATAGACACAAAACCTCTTGCACAGGAACATACCTAAGTGCTTATCTTGCTCCCCTAAGATTGTTTGGATGATGCCTGCTGAGCTTCCCAGATGTGCCAGCTGTGACTCTTGCCAGGTGTCTAACTCTTGCCTGGGACCAAGTGCCTGGAGCCCTGGGTGAGGGTGTCTGTAGGTGCAAAAACCATATGTGATTCCTCAAGACCCAAACATAGAATACAGGAGACACACCACACTCTGAAAGAGGTTGCCTGCAAGTTTTCTATGTAAATGTGATAAAAACAAACACTGCATGTGTATAGGGTATACATAGTTATGATTTAATACAGATTTATATAGGGAAATGATTACCACAGTCAAGCTAATTATCTATCACTTCACCATTATCTCTTTTGTGGTGAGAACATTGAAGATCTACTGCCTTACCAAACTGAATATAAAATACAGTTACTGACTATGATCACCATGCTGTACCTTAGGTCCCTCTACTTATCCTAACTGGAACTTCGGACCTTTTGGACCCTTCGGACCAACATCTCCCCCTCACACCCATGCCAAGCCCCTGACAACAGCCGTCGTGCTTTCTGGTTCTGAGTTTGCCTTCAGATCTCACATGAATGAAGTCATGCAGTATTTGTCTTCCTGAGATTGATTTATTTCACTTAGCATAGTGTTCCCCAGGTTCATCCATGTTGTCTAAGTGACAGGGCTTCCTCCTCCTTTGAGAGGCTGAATAGTGTCCCGTTGTGTGTGTACTTATATACCACATTGTCTCTGTCTAGTCATTCATCAGTGGGCACTTAGGTGGGTTCCAGATCTTGGCTATGGTGCAAATATCTCATCATGATACTGATTTCATTTCCTTTGGATATATACCCTGAGATGGGATTATTGGATTGCACAGAAAATTTTAATTTCTTGAAATTTTATAATTTTTAATTTTTTGAGGAACCTCCATACCATTTTCCTTAATGGTTGAACAAATTTATATTCTCACTAACTGGGTACAAACAGGTGTCCTTTTCTCTCACATCCTTATCAATGCTTATCATTTAGGCATTCTAAGAGGTGTGAGGTAATTAATCATTGTGGTTTTAATTCGCACTTCCCTGATGATTAGTGATGTTGAGCACCTTTTCGTGTACCTGTTGGCTATTTGTAGGTCTTCTTTGAAGAAATGTCTGTTCATGTCCTTTGCTCATTTTTGAATCAGGTTGTTTTTCACTGTTTAATTTTAAGAATTCTCTCTGTATTCTGGACGTTAATCCTTTATCAGACATGTGATTCGCAAATATTTTTTCCCATTCTGTAGGCTACCTTTTAGTTTATTGATATTTAATATCTTTGATGCAAAAAAGTTTTTAAAAATTTTTGTGAAGTCTATTTTTTATTTCTTCTGTAGTTGGTATCATATCCAGGAAAATCACTGCCACGTAAAGTATTGTAAATCTTTTGCCCCTTGTTTTCTTCTAATAGTTCAGATATTTGACCCATTTACAGTCAGTTTTTTGTAATATACGATCTGAGAAAAGAAGACAATTTCATTAATTTGCATGTGGATATTAAGTTTTCCCAGCACTATTTCTTGAAAAGACTGCTCTTTCCTCATTGAGTGGTCTTTGTACGCTTGTCAAATTATTTGACCATATATGTCAATTCAATTTCATAGGTTTTTGTCCTGATATCACATTGTTTTGATTATTGTACCTTTATAGTTAGTTTTGAAATCAGAAAGTATAAATCCTCCATTAGTTTTCTTTTTCAAGATTGTTTTGGGTATATGAAGATTTATTTTTTTAATTCTCTTTTTTTTTGAGAGGTTTTTGCTATAGGGTGCGTAGGGTACGTGTGCTCACCAGACAGACAGAGAAACAGGAAGCGAGAAATCACCCCCCAGGGGGAGGGCCACGCTGCAATCCCTTCTCCATTCTTCTCTGGGGATCTTAGGTGTACACACACCCAGTGTGAGTTTATGCCACCCAGTCCGGGACTCAAACCGCAGTCCCCTACATGGAAGTCCATGAAATCACCTCCCGGGGGGATGGCCATGCCACAGTCCCTTCTCCTCCATTCTCCTCTTGGGATCTTGGGCACGCACGCACGCACATGCGCCTGCTGTGAGTTTTAAGCCACCGGGTCCAGGACGCGAACTACAGTCAACTACATGGGAGTCTAGCAACATAGCCATTACGCTAACTGCTGGTCCCAGTTTGACAGTATTTTTTTGAGAATTTTTCATCAACGTTCATAGGAGATATTGGCCTGTAGTTTTCTCTTGTAATGTTTTCATTTGACTTTGGTATCAAGGTAATGCTGACCTCAGAGATGAGTTAGAACATGTTCTCTCCTCTTTAATTTTTGGAGAAATTTAACAGGATTGGTATTAGCTCTTCTTTAAGTGGTAGAATTCACCAGTGAGGTCAGGCTTTTCTTTGTCAAATTTTTGGTTACCAAGGCAGTTTCTTACTAGTTACTGGTCTAGTCATATTTTCTATTCCTTCATAATTTAGTCTTGGTGGGCTTTGTGTTTCTAGGAATGAGTCCATTTCACCTAGGTTATACTGTTGGTTAGCATACAGTTATTCGTAGTACTGTCTTATAACCTTTCTATTTCTATAGTGATGTGTTTCTAAACCAGTGGTAATATCTCTTTTTTCCTCCGATTTTAGTAATATGAGTAGTAGTCTCTGTCAGTCCATCTACAGTCCAGCTACAGGTTTCTCAATTTTGTTTATCTTTAAAAAAACTAACTTCAGGTTTCATTGATTTCTCTCTTGCTCTCTCTCTTTTTTCTTGTTTGCTATTTCATTGATCTCTGCTCTTATCTTTATTATTTTCTTTCTCGGTTAGCTTTGAGTTTTTTTTTTTTCTCTGTTAACTTTGAGTTTAGTTTTTTGTTTTGTTTTTCTTTTTCTCATTCCTTGAGTTGAAAAATTGGGTTGACTTGAGATCTTACTTGTTTTTTAATGTGAACACTTACAGCTATAATTTATCCCATAGCACTGCTTTTGCTGCATCCTGTAGTTTTGTTTTTTGTTAGTTTGTTTTTTAAAATCATCTCTAAGTATTTTGTAATTTCTCTTATGTCTTCTATGGTCCATTGGTTGTTGAAAGGTATGTTTACTTTCTATAAATGAGTGAATTTTTTTTCTTTTTTTTTTTACTTTTTTTATTTTTTATTTTTTGAGAGGTTTTTCACTATAGGGCGTGTGCGCTCGCCAGACAGACAGAGAGAGACAGAGAGACAGAAAGCGAGAAATCACCCCCCAGGGGGGATGGTCACACCGCAGTCCCTTCTCCTCCATTCTCCTCTCGGGATCTTGGGCACGCACGTACTCGCGCCCGGCGTGAGTTCTAAGCCCCTGGGTCCGGGACGCGAACCACGGTCGACTACGGGGGAGTCCAGCAACATAGCCATTACGCTAACTGCTAGTTCCCTGAATTTTCTAAATTTATTTTTGTCACTGATTTTTTTCATACTACTTTGGGGAATATATTTGTACAATATCTATCTTTTGAAATCTATTGAGACTTCATTTGTTGTCTCTTTGAAAATGTCATACAAGTACTTGAAAACAATGTTCATGTGCTGCTGTCTTGAGTAGAATGTTTTTCCTGCTAGGTCTAGTTGGTTTATTGCATGTCTACAGTTTCTGTACCCTTACCTATTTTCTGTCTGGTTGTTCTATCCAATACCTCCCTGAGAGGGAGGTATTGAAGTGTTCAACTATTGTTCAAAACTGTCTTGTTTCTTCCTTCACTTCTGTCAACTTTTGCTATATATGTTTTGGTGATCTGTTAATAGGTGCATAGATGTTTTTCATTGTTCAGTCTTCCTGCCAACAAGCTTTATTGTCCTTTCCACATGCCTGTCTTCTTTTTTATTTTATATTTTTTAATATGAAAATGTTCAAATTCCTTTCTCATTTCCTTATTTCCTTTTGTATATGTTCTATTGTTATTTTCTTTGTGGTTGCTATAGAATTACCTTTAACATTGTAAAGTTATAGGACTCTGAGTTTATCCAAATCTAACTTCAGTGACATACAGAAGCACTACTCTGGCTTTCTCCACCCCTTTTAGTTGTTAGTTACATCTTTATACATTGCATGCCCCAAAACATAAACTAATAATTCTTGAAAGGTGTATTTCTCTTAAATTATGTAGAAAACAAAACATGGAATTACAACCAAAGTTACAATAATTCTGGCCTTAAGATCAATAAATACTTTTTAAAGTGTATTGGTCTTGTATGTCAAAATAGAAAACAAAAGCTTCAGTTATAAGCCATGGTTACAATAATACCATCTTTTATAATTACCCATGTATTTACCTTATTGAGCTCTTTCTTCATGTGACTTCCAATTACTGATCAATATCCTTTCATTTCACCCTGTAAGACCTCCTTGAGCATATCTCGTAGTACAGATAACAAACTTCCTTTGCTTCTGTTTATGTGGGATTGCCAATTTTTCCTTCTCTGGAGGGACTATTTTGCTGGATATAGGATTCTTCGTTGACAGTTGTTTTGTTTTATTTTTCTTTAGCACTTGAATATGTTGCCCCACTGTCTTCTGGCCTCCAAATGTTGGAATGAAAAATCTGCTGATAATGTTGCTGAAGATTCCTTGCACGTGATGATTTGCTTCTTTCTTACTGCTTCCAAGATTCTCCTTTGTCTTTGTCTTTATAACATGTCTCAATATGCATCTTTTTAAGTTCATCTTACTTGGAGTTTGTTGAGTTTCTTGGATGTTTATATGCATGTCTTTAATCAAATTTAGAAAGTTTTTAGCCATTATTTCTTCAAATATTCTCTTTGCATTTTTCTTTTCTTCTGAGACTCCAGTGATGTGTATTTGGTCTGTTTGATGGTGTCCATCATGTCCCTTAGGCTCTATTTGTGTTTTTTCAATAATTTCTATTGTTATATTTTTTAGTTTGTGGATTCTGGAGATGGGTAGCAGCCATACCATGGGTACTGCCTTGCCTTATCCTTGCAACAAGCTGTTTGGCAGAATCTTTGAACATTTTATACCAGGTATGCGAGGGACCCTGCCATGACTGTAAAGTAAGTGAAGATGTCTGAGGACCACCCCTTCCTTGAACTGCTCCATCATCTTTAGGCAGCTGTCACCAGAGCCCACACCTGAGGGATTCTGTATATGGTGGTCTCCAACCTGAGCAAGGAACGTGCAAAGCAGGCAGCACTCGGAGTGACCAGTCACTTCCTCCCTAAAGCTGAAAATGGCAGCCTGGGCGGACTCCTCACCCTCCCTCCTTCCTCTCCCCCCATAGGCTGCCCCCTTCTATCTCATCTTGGGTTGCTGCTTTATTGATTGCACCTTAAAAAACCATTGGATTTTTATTCTAGAACTAGCTCATAAATACGCTGTTAACCAAGATCCAAGCTGTTCAAGAGAGGGAACACAACTCATGAGCCCCCTTATGTGACCAGCTGCAGGCAGCTGGGGTGGATGGTCTCTTTCTGTCCCTTCTGGATTGCCACTGGTTTGCACATAACTGTGAATGATCTTCCTATGGCTGTGATGCCAGATCACCACAGATTTGGCAGCTCCAGACAGCATGGGTGTTTTACCTTTACAGTTCCAGAGGCCAGAAGTGCAGGATCGTTTTCACTGAGATGAGATCAAGAGGCTGTCAAAGTGAGTTCCTTCTGAGCCTCTAGAGAAGACCTGGCTTCCAGCCTTTTCTGTGTTCTCCCAGTGTGCCACACCAGCCTCATACTCGGAGCTGGCAGCACGGAGCCAGTCCTCATGCTGCTCTTGCTGCTTCTGCCTCCATCCTTACAGCTCTCCAGCCCTCTGGGAGAGGGCCTTTGCCTTTGATTATCAAGAGTGTGGATAGGTTTGGCTCTTCTCCTGCCTGATGCCTGTAACCTCAGTGCCTCTGGCAGCATCCCTGCACCATGTAAAGAGACATTTGCAGGCTTGGATCTTACAAGGCGGGCCTCTTTGGGGGCCATTATTCTGCCTACCATGGTTGTGTTTATGTGTGTGCATGTGCATGACTATATGCATGAGCATATGCGCAATTCTCATTTTGCCTAAATGGAATCATACTTTGTATCCCAAAGTTCCTCTTTCCTCACAGGTTGTCTCAGGATTCTCCCTGCATTGTTCCAGGGGGTGCCCTCATCCCTCTATGGTTATGTAGGTCTGGATTTTTCTTAACCTTTCCTATTTCCGGCTTCTCCTCTGTTTGTTGGTTCATCGTTCATTCTCACATTTGTATGTTAAACACTGGCCAAGCACCCTGCACCCCCAGGTAGGCCTGACTTGGGTCTGGGGGTCAGGGAACTCTGTGCTGCCGGCCAGCGGGTACATGCAGTCAGAGGTGTCTTCTCACCATCTCCATGAGTCACAGTGACTTAAATCTGGGCATGGACTCCCCTGTCTCCAAGGCTTTGTCTCTGGTAATGCTGAATGGGGAACTGGAACCAGCCAGGCTGGGGTTGGCTCAGGGGCTGAGGTGCCAGTGCCCACAGGAGGAGAGACCCTCAGGACTAGGGGAAGGTGGGTAAGGATCGAAGCAGCCTCAGGTCTGTCACTAGCCACCCTTCACTGGGTGAGAGAGTAAAGCAGAGCAGCCCGTTGTATGGCTGATACGCACAGCTGGTGGGCAGGTTCCAGGGGTGGCCTAGTGCACCTAAGAGCTAGGCGTGGGCCTCTGAGATGCCCAGTGTTCTTGGGGTCTCGAGTGTGGCTGTCTCTGTGAGAACACTGTGACTGTAGGAGTGCAGGATGCTTGAATGTGGCCTGGGGAGGTCTGGCGTGGCTGGAGACCATTTCTTCCCCGAGTGGGCACTACTCTGGGTTGGGAGCCCAGTTTGGGGAGGGAGTGAGAGTCATGTCTAGAGGGGCATTCAAATGGAAGCAGGTAAGCCATGGGTAGGCTCCCTTCTGATAATGTCCCTGAGTTAAGCTGTCTCCGAGGTGACCATTGCCATAGCCCGAGTTGAGTTCAGCCCCCACTGGAGCAAAATGATGGTGGAGGCACTCACAGCCCTGCGTTCAGTGGTCCCCACCTGGCAGTGTCAGGTGAGGCTGAGGGCGAAGGTTGTGTCAAGGTCATGCTCATGGACAGTCACATTTCAGCCCAGGACACAGGCTGGCTGCAGTCCCCCTCCCTCTGGGCACCCAGGCTGACTGGATTGTAGCTACTCTTCCTCTGGAGGATCTGAAGGGATCTGCTGGTCAGAAGTAATAAGCCCAAGAGGGAGAGGGACACTCTGTACCACCAGGATCCTGGGCCAGCCATAGGCTGTGTGAACGAGTACACAGAGCAGTTCTCCCTGACAGCATCCCTGCCAGGCCAGGCCTAGGGCTGTCTCATCTGCTGGAATGCTGTCAGGCAGTTTGTCCTGGGTGTATGGGAAGGGACTATGTATAGAAACACACAGGCTTCCAGAAAGTTCCTGATCTAAGAGGGATGGCTGGTAAGATGGGCCCCAGCCTGCCAAGTACCCTTCTTGTTCCTGGAAGGCATTC